ATCGGCCCTGAGCTAACATCTGCCAATCCTCCTCTTTTTGCTGAGGAAGACTGGCCCTGGGCTAACATCCGTGCCCATCTTCCTCTACTTTCTATGGGACGCCGCCACAGCATGGCTTGCCAAGCGGTGTGTTGGTGCACGCCCGGGATCCGAACTGGCGAAGCCCGGTCCGCTGCAGCAGAGCGCGCACACTTAACTGCTTGTGCCACCGGGCTGGCCCCAGCTTTGTTCTTTTTAACATTTTGTGTGTGTGTGTGTGTGTGTGTGTGTGTGTGTGAGGAAGACCAGCCCTGAGCTAACATCCATGCCAATCCTCCTCTTTTAGCTGAGGAAGACTGGCCCTGAGCTAACATCCGTGCCCGTCTTCCTCCACTTTCTCTGGGCCGCCACAGCATGGCCTGACAAGCAGTGCATTGCTGTACGCCTGGGATCCAAACCTGTGAACCCCGGGCCACCGAAGCAGAGTGTGCGCACTCAACCGCTGTGCCACCGGGCCAGCCCCTCCGGCTTTGTTCTTTTTTCTCAGGATTCCTTTGGCTATTTAGGGTCTTTTGTTGTTCCATATAAATTTTAGGATTCTTTGTTCTATTTCTGTGAAAAATGTCCTTGGAACTTTGATAGGGGTTGCATTGAATCTGGAGACTGCTTTAGGAAGTTTGGACATTTTAGCTATGTTAATACTTCCAATCCAGTAGCACGGAATATGTTTCCATTTCTTTGTGTCTTCTTCAATGAAATTGCCAAATTTGACTGTTTTTGCCCTGCAAAATGACCATTTCATTTGGTTGAACCTAATACTGTGTGTAAATATACACAAACGTGGGCAAATATATATTAAAATAGGATTATTCTATTGAGACTGTTCTACAGAAACTTTTGTTCAGTCTATTTTGGGCATCTCTCTATGTGGATGCACACACAGATCTCTCATTCTTTTCGTGGTTATATGTATTCCATTTTATGGGCATAATCTTTTTTAACTCAATCCCCAGTTGGCTTTTGTCTGGTCAATTTATGATGGGTTATTTAGTTTGGAGTATGTGCCATATGGAAGCTTTAATCTTTTGTGTAATTGTCAAATATACATTCTTTCTCTTTCTTTCTTTATACACATTTTATAGGAGCTCTTTCTCTCTAAACCGTTCATCTTACCTGCCCATCGAAGCCATGTGGCCTGTGGAAAGAACTGGCCTGCCTGGGTGTCCCTTTCTCCCCAAACCTTATTTTCTCATCCGCTGAGTCAGAATGAACACAGTACACTGCCTACTTCTCAGCATAGTTGTGGAACAAATGAGAGAGCCACGTGAATGCTCCAGAACCCTTGCACGCTGAAGAATGGGTTGGGACTTTTGTGGTTGAAAGGAATTGTTCTGATAGTGGCCATAGGAAGAATAAACAGATGCCCTGAAAACGTCCAGGTATACTTTATTAGCTAAGTTATCTTTGTACAAAACTCACTAATATGAGTATTTACTCAAAAGGAATTCATACACCAGACATTTGCCTGATTTGCCTGATCAGTGGGGTCTTAACAATCAGTGAGCTCGGGGTGGGAGAGTTGAACTCTCAAGTTGGAGGGTCAACCCTTGGGAGCTTGGTGCCTTGGCAAGTCTGTGTGTGGAGGAAATCTCCAACGTTGGCTCACTGGGTTGCTGCCCCTGTTCCGTGCTGAGGAGAAAGCAGCAGCCCAGGGTGACTGCAGCTGGCATGGGCCAGGTGAGCTTGGCTGCCATGGCTGGAGCGCCTTTGAGCCAGGGCCCAGGATGGCTTCCTGGGTTCTCTCCTGAGGGCTCCAGAGTGGGAGTCTGTAGGGAGTGGCCGCCTACCCTGTGTATGTGTGTCCTCTTGCAGGCTGCTGACTCGGGACACGTGCGAGCCAGAGGGAGTCGGAGCCCTGCGAGGCTGCCTGTGCCATGGATTCTAAGGTCAGACAGACGTTCTTCTCCTGGAGGAATGCTTTGTTGGGGGGAGGGGGTGAAGGTGGCTGAGGCCAGCTTGTTCTCGTGTGTACCTTCAGTGTGGACCCAGTCTGACCCTTGTTTGACAGAGCCGCAGAGAGGAGCCTCACATTCACAACTTACTGGAGCCCAGTCAAAAAGAAAACTAAAACCTCTCATCTCCGCATCCTCTTCCCTCCTACACCTCGTGCCTGCTCGCTCACTGGAAGGGCAAGGAGGCTTTCTGATTCAAGACCATTTAAAAGCTCTAGAGTCTTGGGAGGGGTCGTCTAGCAGTCATACAGGCCACTCCCCTGCCTTCAGCAGATGGCACCCAAACTGTGACGTGTCCATACTTAGCTTTGAACAAGCGTGGAAGAGAAAATCGAGGCTTATCCAATCAAAAGCTCTTTATTCATTGACTTACTATATAGTCTTTCTACTTCCCTCCTCTGCCAAGTTCCGCGAGCACCAGGGGCTTTTCTTTGTCCACCCCAAATGCATCAGCCTTCTGTTCTCACCAGCTGTTGTGGGAGACATCTGGAAAACTCTAAGGATTTAGTGGTTAGTAAACTCAGTGGCCCACAGTTTCTGAATCGCTGAGCATATAGCAGCTCATGGCTCCTGACACAGTCTCAATGCCTACTTGTTTTTTTGTTTTTTTTTTTAATTTTATTTATTTATTTTTTTCCCCCAAAGCCCCAGTAGATAGTTGTGTGTCATTGCTGCCCATCCCTCTAGTTGCTGTATGTGGGACGCGGCCTCAGCATGGCCGGAGAAGCGGTGCGTCGGTGCGCGCCCGGGATCCGAACCCGGGCCGCCAGCAGCGGAGCGCGCGCACTTAACCGCTAAGCCACGGGGCCAGCCCTGCCTACTTGTTGAATATCCTCTAAAGGATGGGAGCCACGTGGCTTTTAGCTTGTTGGCTGGAGGGCCTAAGATATCGCAGGCTCAGGAGAGATGTTAGTTGCTTGAACAGAAGAGATTTCGGGAGCTGCCCTTGTCCTGATAAAGGCCTGTTATCAGTGTCCAGAATACTCTTCTGTGTGGTACCATTTAAACCTGCCCGTTGTTGTCCCTCCCAGCCTACAGCTGCTGTCTCCTCTTCCCTGTTCTTGAGACGTGGGTAAGTTAACAAACAGCACTGCCACATCAGACTCGTGTAGCGTGTTAACTGTAGGGGTGGTTTCTCCCACGGTGCCCCATTTCTCCTGAGAACCCTTCAGTGCAGGAAGGTGGATATAACTACTCCCAGTGTTTTTCCTTCAAGGTGAGAAAACTGAGACACAGATGCTGCCCAGTGTCCTGCTGAGTTGGGGTTCAGTCAAACGCCGAGCAATTTCCTCTTATACTTTAAGGTTTGGCCACCCCCTGCCACCATCAGAATTTCATCCTGTTGTAGATTTTTCTTTGATTTTTTTTCCAGTTTTTTTGTCATTGTGGTAAAATATACAGATCATAAATTTTACCATTTTAACCTTTTTTAAGTGGTCAATTCAGTGGCCTTAATACACTCACATTGCTGTGCCACCATCACCACCATCCGTCTCTAGAACTTTTTCATCTTTCCTGCTGAAACTCTGTCCCCATTAAACACTAACTCCCCAGCCCCCTCCGCCCAGCCTCTGACCCACAGCCTTGCTCTACTTGCTGTCTCTGAATTTGACTACTTCCCGTACCTCACAGGAGTGGAATCAGACAGCATTTGTCCTTTGTGTCTGGCTTCTTTCACTTAGCATGATGTCTTGGGCTCGGGTTTTTTTACTGTTTGTATGGTCCTGTTCATCCATAGTGTAGCATTCTTATTTGACTTTTTTGATATTTAGAAAAACAAAATAAGTGAGGGGCTGGCCTGGTGGCGTAGCAGTTAAGTTCGTGCCTTCTGCTTTGGTGGCTCGGGGTTCGGCAGTTTGGATCCTGGGCACGGACCTACTCACCGCTCATCAAGCCATGCTGAGGCAGCGTCCCACATAGGGCAACTAGAGGGACCTATGTCTAGGATATACAACTATGTACTGGGGCTTTAGGGAGAAAAAAGAAAAAGAGGAAGATTGGCAGCAGATGTTAGTGCAGAGCCAATCTTCCTCAAAAGAAAAAAAAAATTGGAAAAAAAAAAAAAAAAAGAATGTATGAAGCAAAATGTTAAAAAAAAGTGGGGGGGCGCTGGCCCAGTGGCGTAGCAGTTAAGCTTGCGCATTCTGCTTTGGTGGCCTGAGGTTACAGGTTCGGATCCCAGGTGTGGACGCACCATTTATCAAGCCATGCTGTGGTGGTGTCCCATATCAAGTGGAGGAAGATGGGCACGGATGTTAGCCCAGGGCCAGTCTTCCTCAGCAAAAAGAGGAGGATTGGCAGATGTTAGCTCAGGGCTGACCTTCCTCACAAAAAAAAAAAACATAG